TTACTAGAAGCGATGCACTTGTTCCTAATAGCTTCTTGTTCCTAGTAGTAGGGCCAGGAGCCCCTAGTAGCTTCTTGCTACTACTAGTAAGGCACTTGTTACTAGAAGCGATGCACTTGTTACTAGTAGCTTCTTGTTCCTAGTAGTAAGGCCAGGAGCCCCTAGTAGCTTCTTGTTACTACCAGTAAGGCACTTGTTACTGGAAGCGATGCACTTGTTACTAGTAGCTTCTTGTTCCTAGTAGTAAGGCCAGGAGCCCCTAGTAGCGTTCTTGTTACTACCAGTAAGGCACTTGTTACTAGAAGCGATGCACTTGTTACTAGTAGCTTCCTGTTCCTAGTAGTAAGGCCAGGAGCCCCTAGTAGCGTCCTTGCTCCTAGTAGCGATGCCCTTTGCTCCTAGTAGTGAACATTGCTCCTAGGATGCGGGTGGCTTGCTAACAAAAGCCTCGAACTTGGACACTTTGGGACCTTGATTCAGCAGCCTGAGCCGTTCGGGCTTGACCGATCAGGCAGCCCCAGCACAAGGCCCATTGTCAGGCAAGAGACGACGGGGGGCTGGTTAGGGGCGGGTCGCCTTTGGGTTGGCAAGAGATAGATCAAGATAGACGAGACTCCGATGCTTTTCCATGAAGTTGTTGCTTTTGGCTTGTTGCAATGGTCTCAGAGGTCTCACAATTTTGCCCTTGAGGTTGTCCTGGGCCCCAGCTGGTCAATACCTTGTCCATCCCAGAGTGCCCACGACACATCTTCGCTGCCAGGAATTGTCAATACACCGAAGACTTCTTCGCTGTTTGAGCTCGATTCTGGAGGTACAGACAACGCATTGTGGAGATTTATTCAATCCACAAGCCAGACAACGTGATAAGAGTTGATTACCTTCTAGAGAAGTGCCAGCCTGAGTTTCCAGATGCCCAACCTTTGGGACATGGCTTCTTGTGGAGAAAAGCTATCGACTTCTCACGTGTTTCAGGTTGGTATTCAGCATGATGTTCGTAAATTGAGCATGTCTGCGCCTTCAAGGTACAAAGGCAACGAGGAATTTCTCTACAGGAGTATTTGCCAGAAGTTCGCCACTGAAAGCACTTGCTCTTTTGGCTTTTCCTACATGGAGCCGCAGGTACGATGTGG